CTTTGTCGTTGCAAAGCGTGCTGAGAACTTACTGGTGAAAACAACTGCAGCATGAACGACATTTTTGTATCTCCTTGACCATATCTACTTCGTAATCACACGTATTCATATTTGTGTGCCATCAACAACAATTTCCACAAGACTGGATGTAACGGCCTACTTCACTGCACAAGAAGTATAAAATAAAAATCTCAGTGAATACGTAGGATTAAGCGCACCCCAATAGAAGGTGCAGCTTTTTGCATTATGATTGAACCTACTAAGTAGGTGATATATCCATTATGACCTAGCTAGATACTGACGTACGAATAAGTAATTTCTGTCAGCAAAAAATTTCTCTGTGCTTGAATTATGGTATAAAGATCAAACAGTGATACATCCCTGAACAATCAACACTTGATCTTATATTGCAATGTAATCTAGATATGCTTAACGTACTCTAATTGAAGAAGGACACCATATTCTCGTCTCGGTTGGCGAAGATAGTGTAAGGACGATATCCCAATCGCAATATTCGTCAATCAGGTTCTGAAGTACCGAATCACATTAGTCTCTTTTTTTGCTCCCATTTAAAAATTGACGCCCCTAGATCAAGTTGTATCTATTCAACGAGGTCTGGGAATATTAGATGTCCTATCGTGTTGTATATGGCGATCATAAAAGTCGGCAAATGTTAGGAGCCTAAAGTTTTGTATATGACGATCCCCGAAGTCGCGGTATAGCCATAACGATTCCTCAGGATATCCTATACGTTCGAATAAAACCCTATGATACGCTTATTGAGCACCTATACATGATGTTTAGCGTAGAAATAGACGGTATGGGTACGTTACATTTATAAATCATTTTGTGTCAAGCTGGAGTAAGATGAAACATTTGAAAAGTATGTTCGGACGAATGTTTGGTTTTATAATCTGATCATTGGAGGCAAATACAGATAAAATGTCTTAACAGGCTGTAAAGTCGGTAGCGAGCGTATGTTAGATTGTATATGGCTGTACTGAGTTTAGAGAAAAAAGATACCTCGATAATTAAGTCGTCACGATTGTAATTTTGATTCGAAAACCCGACAAGCTGCTGATAAGATCGATCATACTTATTTTAATACATTTTATCATGTTGAAGTTTTCTTTCACGTGCGCATTCAGTTTCGATTATATATAACTTGGAATTTTATTTCTGAACTTATAATTTCCAGCGGTTGCTCGATTTTATAACTTGCGAAATCATAAAAGCTGATTACTTATAGAATACGACTTTATTTTATGTACGATTGTTACAACCACGTTAAGATCGGATGTCATTTGGAGATGTAGGGAATGCAGGGATAACGTTGCTTTGCAAAGATCCAGATGCATACTTAAACTGGTGCTGATTTCAAAGAGCTTTTACAAATGACGTGATACACCTTACCTGCTGTGAATATGATCACAACGGAGGATCGAAGCATGCAAGTCGTATATTTTTACGTGGAATTTATAGCCACAATCTACTAGGTCACACAAGATATCCTACAACGAGCGATCAGAGTCCCATTATTTTGCTGGTCCTCCATCCAGTTTGACACAGAGGCTATCAAGACACGTGTGGACACGCAATTCTAAAGCTTGTATAATCAAACAACCTCTTGGAATCACGAAACATGACCTATTATGACACGTGACCGGCAAACTTCATATCAATTTTACATGTCTACGTGTGTAAGGGCGTGAGATATTCACATGTCATAATGACCAGAATGAGTTAATGAGCATAGTATGTTAATCAATTGTATTCTCCTAAAACAAGTGAAGTAAGTAATCGAGTTAATATTAAAGGAACATTACCGTCGAAGGTAGTTTTCGGAGCTGCTCTTTTTGTTAAAATGTATTTTTAGCCGAATAACTACTTATCGCTGCTAGACGCGCGAAATAAGTGATGAATAGTTAGTAGTATTTAAAGTTTTATTTTTGTAGTCCTAGTAAATGATTAGTAATATATTTATGAGCTTTATCTGTAAGCACAATATACAGTTTTAATATTTTATATAGTAACCGTGTCACCTATTAGACTTAGCTTATTCTGCTCCTTGATTACACGTTGAGTTTAAACAAAATATTACTACATCGTGCTCAGTTGAGGTTGATATAATGTGTCAGTACAAGCAGTGGTGTATCGTTACGATGCGTCGAAGCCGGAGTATGTGAAAGAATAGGGACCGAGGCTTCTGAGCTCGATCCTTCTGTACTGATCATCAGCTAAAATATGTTAGATAATGTGAAATGTTACGGGATAACGGATTCCTCTGAGTCTAAGTGTGTTATCATTACTTGAGGTACAGGTCTCGGAATAGTCATTGGAAGATCAATTCACACAGTATACCGCCTATTAGCGCAAAGGAAGATTGTCTGGCAGCCAATCAGAAAAAAAGGACTTTATTTGGAAAGAGTATGAAAAGTTTGGAATGCTGGGGCTATATAAAACGCTAAGCTAAAACGAAGAATGTATCGCAAGTGTCGAGAAATGTTTACCTTTGGTCTCTGTCATTATCAACTCGAAGATCACGATCAATGCAAGGTCGCGACCAGAAGGCTTGCCGTTATTTATAAGTTGCGATCCACGGTATGTGCTTCAAAATGAAGGTAGTTACACAAAATATGTGATATGCACATTACAGCATATATATCACGGCACGAGCGACACATGATTCTACACCAGAATGAAAAAAGTCCGATCTATTCGTAATCTATTGGTAGGATAAAAGTCCACGACACAATCATGCATCGATAACGACATGACTTTTGATTTCTTATTGATTTTAAGGATTTGGACGCGCCAATTTTGAGCTTTATGTCATACGATCGCTTGGCGAGGCTCGAAAAGAATTTCTAATAATTATGAGATTGGACACAGCAGGTCCCCAACGAGGGACCTCGGACTAAGATCAGGTGATAACAAGGCAGATCGGAGGCGCAAACCTTATGTACCCCGTAAATTATATGGTCGATCGATACGATCGACTAGAGCATTATGCAGCAATACGAATGATGACTGTGCCTGATTCGAACATTTTATGCACTTATATTTTACCGAGTACGTTCCCGTGCGTTATTGCTGGTATGAAAGACAATGATAGAAGTGTTTGAGGAAAAAAACGTCTTCATCGAGCGAAAGTGGGTGCTACGCGCTTTAGTTTAGAATCTGTAAAAGATGCAAGACAAAGTGAACATGCCATAGTCAAATTTCCACTCACATGAACTTGTACCCACCTTTTGAGAAATTACTGAAATGCACAACAAAGGTAGCATCACGAAACGATCACACTGTAATTTTCATAGTACCTGATAGAAGAAAAAGCAGGATGTGCGTGACCACGGACCTCATCTGGCGGCAGATAAAAAGCATATTTTATCCATGCAATAATACATGCGGTGGCTACACCTCTTTGCTGTTGTTGTTAGCAAAAAATCGTCCGTCGTCGCTCTATTCTTTCATCGTTTATAGTATCGCATCATTGCTATCATCATCTTGCTTCATGACGCAAAAAACTCTGTAAACTGTGATTACGAAACCTCACTACGACAACCGTTATCCCAAGCACGAGCCCGAAAAATCCTAAATGAGTTAGCAAATATCCGATTCTGATGTATTTATTTGGACTGACCGACATCATAAAAAGAGTAAGAATATCACTTGATTCTCTATCTTACGCTTATGCACTTTTATCGATATCGAGTACAGATGAGGAGGCGGCTTATCCGCAAGCTACAGCTACGGAAGTCGGTCACGTCTGAATTAGAAGAGTCTAGGAGCGTTGTGAGGTACACAGCTCCGGTAGTCTGTATTTGGTACATTCGATATACTGTGATGATCGTCGCATGATGTACAAAGATGGTCTTCGATTAAAGAACTATTTTTCTTTGTTACCACCAATACATTATTGATCAAGAGAAGGTACGCTGCGACTAGTAAACAGCTCAATGTACATAATGCGGCAATCAACCTAAATTTCTATCAGTCAGTTTTACTTAGCCGAACGGTGCTGTAAAGATGCACGGTACAATACGTGTGATGTAGTTTAGTGACAGTCACACGCGCCGCGATGATGTCAGCGATCAAATCGACAGGTATGACTTCCTATGTTTTTTCAATTCGTGGTCGCCACAATATTTGTAATGGAAAGGAAGCGTTGTTTGTATGTAGACCAACAGGGTGTAAGTACACAACATGTACATTTCTGGTTCACGCTTCTTGTACCGTTTATTGGATGGCGGCCGTGCTCAAACAATAGATCTGACGACTGTCATCCACGGTTTGACGGCTGTCGCCCACATTGTCATCGATGTAATGGCTATGTGGCCTCGTTCTCAGCCGCACATTGAGTATTATTGGCCAGTAGTGCGGACACTTCTTAAATGTACCTGATAAGAAGCTGAAAATAGTGTCGAGGTCTCCTTGCTGTTGCCTTTTTGCTTCACGGCTACGTTTTAAATTGCTTGTGCTTTATCTGGTAATTTAGTAAAATTTGTCCACAATACAACTCGCTTTGTACCTACTGCTGATAATACAGCTACTTGGACACAAGTCTCTTTGCGATCTCACCTTTGTGTTGTGCTTGTCCCATCACTGACTTGGACATTTTGCTGCATCTGTTTTTAACCATTGCTTGCTTGTTCAACCGAGCGACTGTGATGTTGACCGACCTGTTGCTGGATGCAGAAATTGCTAACTGCACGCAGACACCTTTGATCAACTCTTACGTTTGAGTTGCTTCCTCAGATGATGTATCAAAAAAGTATGTTTTCGTTACATTCAACGACGCTGCGGTCGCTAAGCATTCACAGCGTGAATCGTTGGGTAAGAGTAGAGACCACAAGCATTGTCAAGCAGTAGCGTTTATCTATGTGGCCTTGTCGTGTTGCAACGAGCAGCACTGTGTCGATGCACAACAGCAATTGACACAACGACTTACGGAAATCGAATAACTACACATGCATTTGCACCATTATCTACAAGTGCGCTTACTTACATTCAGTCAAACACTTGGCATGATACGCTTGTACAACTTCCGCGCAAGCTTTAGCCCCTTCGACAACGACAATTAGCCGACCGCTTGAGTCTCCGTTCTCTGGCATATCGATCTGACATTCATCCTTACGAAAACAAAACATCCAGTATAAGCGAGCGCACAAAATACCACCAATTATATCGAACCCGTACCTTGAAGTGAAAGACGAGTGAGTTGACCAGACCATCCTGCTCGGCGATCTTTGCGAGTGACGTTAACGACCGCCATTCTTCAACGAGCGCAAACCCCTCTTGCGTTGCCGCCATCACGTTTAGAACGACGAGCAACGATGGAGTGACAACCAGCTCCCGGTGACCCAGACGACTCAACTGTCGAGGAAGTAGTTCTCCCTCCTCTTCAAATTTGGTGACATGGTAGAAGCGGAAGTCTTTGTGCGCATCATTCAATGACGACTTCCACTTTGCCAAATTCACGAATCGAGATTCCGGTAGTGTCAACTCGCTCTTTTCATCTTCGTCATGACTTTGCATCTCATCGACATCCTCACCGTCGTTGTTCTTCGATGGTTCCTCATTCGTTTGAACCTCAGCGTCATGACTGCTCGAGCTGCTCGGCCCCGATTTGAGCCGTAGCGCTGCGGCTTTTGCTTTGTCTAGAATAGTGCCTGCAGTCCGCGCTGATGCACGTCGCAGTTCTCGTACTACCGGTTGCCGTTCATTTTCATCACTGCTTGCAGGCTGTCGAGTACTGGATGTACTTCCACTTTCGTGACTGCATGCACTGTTCCCAGATCGTGCAATGCCAGGTAGTGTACGACAACTTTCGCTCAACTCGCTGTATGGACCCCATCTCTTGTCGTCTGTCCCGCTGCGAATTCGAAACAGGTACAATGTGTTTGACTGCAAGTTCGTGACCGAGTGTTCGACTGTTTCGGCACCAATATCAGCGTCAACTGTCCGCCACATGGCAGCCAACCGGTCCTTTACGTACTGGATCTGATACTTGGTCACTCCTACATCCTTTGCCATCTCCCACGTAAGTGTGACTTCTGAGCCTGATACAGGAAGCACCTGTAAATTGGAAGGCGGGGCAGGAGAACGGGAAGATGAAGCAGCACTGACGACGCTTGTGCTGCTGACCGTGGTAGAAACCACCGAGCTAATTGCTGCGCTCGTTGTGCTGGCATTGGCGCCGATGTTCCCGCTGGTGGATTGAAAAGCGTGTGACCGGAGGAAGGCGTGAGCTATAGACTGGGTCGGCTCCTGCAGCATCGGTCCAACGCTTTTGGTACTAGATCCGGGAAGCCGTTGAAGAACCACTCCACCCTGAGGCGTGCTTTCAAAAGCCCACATGCCGTCAGCTTTGCCATCTGCATCCCTATGCCCGGAACGGAATACCGACCGCTTGCCATGACTATCGTCGATACTTTTGTCTTGATCGCCATTTTTCCCACTACTGTCGGATGCAAGGCGAACAAATATCTGATTCGAGCCAGAGCTTTCAAAACCCTGAATGGGCTGACCCCTGTCCAGTACGATGTCCACGTTTTCGGCACTACGATCCGGATGGCGGCGTGCTTGCGTCGTCAGGGGCTCTTGGCAGACCGATGCACCTTGTTCGGCAACTTCAAAACAAACCCCAGGATGAAAACGTGCAGAAGCTAAATCATCGCGACCTGCAAGCACTGGCGTAACGGTAGCAGATCCAGCATCTCGCTCGCTCACTGCCCCGGCGTCCAGCGTCTTCATAGAACTGCTCGATGGACTAAAAGGACCCCACCGATTGTTCGATCCACAGCGCACGCGAAAAACTAGCGAATCACCGGGGTTAAGACCAACCATTGTACCGTTCGTCTGGTCAGTGACGCCGTTCGCATCCACGTGAGTAATTGTTACGTCCAGCTCGATCGCAACTGGAACCCAAGGACCACAGTCATCGCCGGATTGCTTCGCAAACTGGAGTTGATACAATGGAACCTTGCCCGGTGCCAACGAGGCGTCTGTTTCATCCCACGTGATGTAGATGGAGTGTCTCGTCGCTCTAACCAGTGTCGGAGCCAGCGGCGAGATTGTGCCCGGACCAGGCGCGATTGCATCCTCATCCGTACGAACCGGAGTGAGAAAGCGCAACACCACGGGTCGGGATGCTTCAATTATAAGCTTGATGACACTCAAAAATGTGATGCCCTTCATGCTATCTTCGTTGATAGAAACTAGCAAATCGCCGGCGTGAACTAGACCGGTTGCACAAGCTTGACTACCCGGTACTAAGCTATCAACGGCAGCATAATATATCTTCGACGTACAAGATTTTCGAAACGAGATCCCAATAGGACCGGGCTGAATTTCGACATCAGTAATCACCCCGGCAACATCAGCTGCCTTGCCACATCCGTCCACCAAATCATTCACTCCAGTGCCTTTTGCCTTGGCAAGGGAAGAATTACTAGTCCGAGTAACTGAGCGTGGAGCCGATGACACGGCGTCTTTGGCTGCTGCTTTTAATAGCGTGAGGCGCTGGGAAAATGTTGGTGCAGCAGAACTTGCCGCAGTCGTTGCTTTTTTCTTCTTCTTTCCCGTCACCTCCCTGTCGCGAATGCGACTACTCTTCAAAGGCGATGCAAAAGACTTCGCCGTTCTAGCAAGCTGTGCCGTGTCGACACTGGACCGACTACTGATCCCGTTCATTACATCAGCATTCGTAGCATCTCGGGATATTGTATACGATCGACGTAGACCCATTTTAGCTAAAAAGCTTGACCCCGCTGGAGAAGTTCCAGTCGAATCAGGCACGACCGTTTTCTCGAATGTTAGCGTGGGAAGCAGAGACGACACCAGGAGCTGCTGCTGTGCCTGCACATCCATGCCAGCAATGCTCTTTTCTAACTCATCGAAACCACCGGCAAGCCCGCTTACGTACTTGAATCCATTTTGCAAAAATACCTGCACAAGTCGTGTCACAGACAGATGCTCTGCATGTACCTTGGACAGCTCATAACTGGTAAGTTCGCTGGCCAATGCACCAGATTCTGGTGCAGGGCTTTGCTTGCGAGACAACGTCACAGGATCAGTTGACGGCACTGTTGTCGTACCTGCGACTTTCGCTTGTTCGCCAACGTCGGCGCGCTTCTGAATAGGGTCATGGACCGTCAAGCACTGTGGATTGTCATTGGAAATAACTCTCGCTAGACGCACAGCTGAATTCAAAGCTGCATTCTTGGACGAAGAACGCGTCAAAAATGACGGCGAATCGATCGAGGGACCAACGAAGCAAAAATGACAGCCTTTCATGCGAGAAAAACCCTTTACTAACGCATCAAGCGCATCTGGCTGTCCCATTACACTTGGATCAACGTGATGCGACAGGATCAAATGCGACTTGTGGTACTCATCAGCAGACCGGCAATCAAGCACGACAAATCTCAGCGGTGCTGACCCATTTTCGCCATCGCTTCCTGAAACGTACAGCAATGGGGCTTGGTCACCCAGCGGAGATCGTAACGGATCAAGCAAACCTTGAGCGCCCTCAACCTCTTCTTGCGTAGCCAAAGTAGCAGATGACACCGCTGTTGTGCGCTTTTCTTTTCTTTTTGCCCGTATTCCATGCCGCAAATTGCGGACAAGTTCCTCCGGGTATACTCGCAAACTGGAACAGGCGTATATCTGATCCAGAAACGGCACCATGGCACTTGTAAAGCCACCATAGCAAACCGAGTACAAGTCACGCTTGAATGATTGCGGGGTCAATTTTAGAATTGCTCGCGCACTGGCACAAACTTGCTCCAACTCGTGCCGCGAAGAGAACGTTAGCGAACTTAGCACCTGTGGGAGCATAGCAAACTCTGCTTCGAAAATCTGCTTACGATTTGCTGCCACAAGTGCGTACGCAACAAAGTGCAGCATATACGGATCTCCTTCAAGCAGAAAAAGGTCCCACAGACAAAAGACAAGGTCCGGTGGTAACGACCGAGCAAACAACGTCATGAACCACGGGGTCACGTACAGTTCCGGCGTCATATCGTGCTGGTCCAGGTAATGACATAACTCGGGGTCGTGGTACAGCATCAAGAGCCGGTAGAGCTGAAACGAGCACTGCAACGACTTAAACTCTTTGTCCACGAACACCTGGGGCAAGAAATGGTCAATGAGCGCGTAAAAGCACTGGAACACCACGCCCTCAGCCAATGGAACACGGTCGTTGTCGTCTTTCCGTTGCTCAGTGAGAAGCAGAAAGGGCGCTAGCACCTCGTTCATGCCCTGTTTGTATTGGATACTGCGACACTTGCAGTAGTACGTCAGCAGCTTGACAACCAGCTCCACTGTCTCTGGCGCTTGGAATCGATGTTCATTGCTCCGAGTGCGCGCTGCATCCGCTGCAATGACGCGCTGATTGTCCAGGTCTTCCTGCACCTGCAAAATACTCCGGTCCAAGTACAAGCGCTCGCTGCGAGCCACGCCCAGTAGCTCTTTCCACACTTGCGCGCGCAGCTCTGACGGCACACCACCGAGCGAGCGACACGCTGCCCGAATGACAAAATGATCGGGTCTCCTCTTTTTCATTTCGTCGCGAAGTTGACGCTCGAGTTGGGCGCTCTCGGGGTCGTCGTCGTGACGGGTATGAAGGGCGTCGTCGTCGTGCTTCGTGGTCTGGCCACACTCGCTCCGAGACGTCGGGGGATCAGTGGCTGCTGTCGACACGTCAGAGACGGACGCGGACGCAGTAGAAGACGCGGGTGAACAGGTCTCTGGGGCGCATGTGGACAGAGCTCGGGACGCCAGAGGCGCATCGGCGGAGCTGCTGAGCTCGAGGTCTCGTGACGACGGCATGTCGTAAACTGACTACTTTTTATCTTTCGCGTGGTACGACAGCGGTCGTATTTTTCAGTAAAATGTGCTTTTTATTGTGTGACGTTTTGTTCATGCACTAAAGCCGATCGCGCCATCTGTTTGGTTTGGCAAACTGTAATGCTGGCTGGAGTGGTATGGTACACCGCGAGTCAAGTCCCGACCGTTTGGTGCGACTCGGTGTCGACCATGCGGTATGAATGCAAAGACTAAGCTACTTACCACTGGATACGTGTCATGCAATTTCGATCATATCATGCAAGTGGGAACAGTTGTTTGTACTCAAGCAAAAGCGCACTACATGGTACAGAGAATGAGAAAGCACGATCACTCATATTCGCGTCAGCCTTCAAATCCTCTTTTGGCCGGCGACACGTGCTCCGTCTACATCGTCATTTACAGCTTAGTAAGGCCCACTACTTCGATTCGAAGAATGACTTCATCGCACGGGATAAGTCAACGCGATCCATGATTGCAGCTCCAGCACAGTTCTGATGTGGTATCAATCCTCTCCTTTTTTGTACTGGAGCAGGGGTGCTGGCAAGGATTCGCGATTGGTACAGCGCCAGATTGTGCTGCAAGGGAATTGGCCCAACCGGTAGACCAAATCTGACACTGAATGGAATTCAGACAGGACGATTTAGTTGAAATCTCTAATCCTTTTTCATACGTAAACCATCTCTCGACACACAACGGCAGCTCGGTATACTTACTGAAAGCCCTGCGAAATGTATCACTGTCGGACACGTGTCAGACGCATGGATTTTCCAGTAAGACGTCAAGTCGCGCTTTTTTGTAAATAACAGAACACGTCAAATGCAATTTTGCACATGAAAACTGCAAAAAAGCGCGATTAGACTGATTGTGCCGTCACTGACCTGGCAGGCAAAGTCACGACGAGACGAAAATCGGAAAACGGGCACGTTGTTGCGAATGCTCAACGCTTCTTCGCTTGGTTCCCATACCGATTTTGCCATCGGTCATTCCACAAAGAGCCACCCGTCTGTACACTTTATAGTGGAGTTTCCGTAGCTATTTCTTCACTCTGCTCTTCTTTCTCTTATCGTCCGAGCGTACCAACGTACGGGTGTTTACAGAAGAATCCATTGAGAAAACCGGATATAGGGAACATGTTCCGCTTTGTAACGGCATCACTGCAACAGGACGCTTCGCATGGAGCATCGAAAGGAAGTCGACAGCATGATAGCGATAGATACAAAGACAAGACGAAGATAACGAGCTATTGTGCTTGCTTTTTTTCTGATGGTGATCTGAGTAACGAGGTTGCGGCCGCATGTTTTGTCGACGTGGCCTTCCCCCGCAGCTCAGGTCACCGCGTATGATGTCGAGTGTGTCAGCTCGGAGCTTTGTGATTCGGTAAGACGTTCTCTGTCTGCAAGATATCCGTAGGAATAGCGATCACACGTTGTAGAAACTTGGTAAGACGACCGCATCCCAATAACGTCGATCTTCGTACATGCGTCTGAACTTATCGCGAATCCGCCCCATCCTTCACACTACTTACGTTTTGATTGACCTCTTACGCCTAGATCACTCGTGTCTATACCGGACGCGCCGCGGTCGTTTTATACGATTGTGTTTCTGCTGGTCCTTGCTTCATCCGTCCACAACGGTTACATCACCCAAGCTCTCTCAATACCATCGTGTCAGCCGCGACGGTGCTGCGCTGCACAAGTTTGGCCAACTACAGTGTTGACTGGGTCTCACGTGACTCGCACAAGGTAAGAGAACCACCAACCTTCCCAAGTTAATTACGTATGCAGCGAAGCCATTACAGCATGCCTCCTCGAGCAAAACTCAGCGCTACATGAGGAAGCAACAGGCTTGCCACGTCGATTGTTGTAGATAGAACGCCAACATGAAAGGTGAGTGCTGCGCCTGCACTGCTCGGGTACGTGTAATTGTTTTGTATTGCTATGCTACTGATATGGCTCTTTACGGGAAGAGTTTCCCGCTGCTCGCGCGACGCAAAGCGAGAGAGCGCAAGTAGGATCGTTTTGCAGATGTAAAGCATTGTGCCGTCGCCACAAAACAGCTTGCATGTCGATGTTATGACCGCCAGAAGAGCATGTGACTCATACATACCCTAGTGACCCCCACAGCGCCACGCACTGCAGTAGTAGAGGACATGGTTGTCGTGTGCCAATTGTTGCCCCCGCTCAGTGATATTGACAGCTCAGTGTTGATGACAGCTGGCGAAACGCAACTACAAGCAACAACAACGTCGTGCGTTTGTGACAATTTGCAGATGGTACCACTGCCGATCAACAATATTCTTCACGTGGTTGTCACAGCGACCACGCGCGTTGAGTCAGAGCTTTGCTCGTCCACTCGTTGCCGGGGATACTGTACAATAAGTAGGCGAAGTTGGCTGCTTCAGCCGCCGGGCAACAACCGATGAACAATATTATGTGAAAACGGTCACCGTACGCAGCAGTCTCGATGCGTCCCAACCTATCATTCCACTGCTCTTTGCCTGATTCGCGTGAGAAGGGTTCGGATGCCACCAGTCTATCTGCGCGGCGTCAGCTGCATGCGCTATTCAATGAATTCGTTCGTTCCTGATCCACTATGCTGTCCACCAAACGGTCACTCAGTGCACATTGGTCAAGAGACCGAGCCCAGTCATTGCGGTGGCGAGGTAGTAGCAGTGTTGGTTATCGCCCAAGCAATGACTGCGCTTGATCGGTGTGTCTGTGCTCGAGTGGCATTTACCGGTGCCGCTAGCCGCTCCGAACAACACATGGGAAGTCTTGTTCCAATGTGCCCATGTCCGCCACGACCGTGTAGATCGATCCATGAGACCTCGATAGCAAGTACTCGACCAATGTCGGTCTGTTCGCCACAGTGGTCAAACACACCACAGATTCCACGCCCTCTCGTCTTCAAGAGCGTAGTTGAACGACAGCAGTCTCTCTGTTTGTAGATAATACTGCAGTCAGTTAAGAATGCGAAACGGTCGACAAATTGTCACCTCTTAACTCTCGCAGCAGCGCACGGGGGCGCCAGAAAATCAATTTTCGCTTCTTCTCTCGATCACTGTCGTGTGTTTGTGCACGCTCGGCCGCGCTTTGTAGCCTCGTCGCTCGTCGCTGAAGATGCAGCAATAAATTACACGCGGCCTCGCAAGATTCTAACCATGTCGTTTACTGGCGACCGCTTCCCACCGTTTTTTATCAATCTATACAGTGGGCGATCCAGACGACCCGACGCGGCGTTGTCACTATACTGTCGCCTCAAGCTGCGCGAAAAACAGTGCGCAGAAAGAATGCAGTGTCAACACAACAGCAGGTCCAGAAAGGTCTGCATGTATGTCATAGAGGAGTCAAAGGTCAAGCAAGCGCTTGCGTCGCTATGAGTTGGACGACGCACTAGTAGCAAGATACTGGCTAGACAGCCTGTCTTCACGTTTTGTGTCGGATGAGGGAAGAACGTAGTTGAGCTGAAAGTCAGCGATGTCTGCCGGACATGAACATGCCACATTAGTAACAAAGGGTAAGAGAATCTGCCACAAGTGGCAGACGGGAGTCGAATGATGAGGGCGAAACGTGGTGAAGCTCAACACGACTAGCAAGACGGCAACCCAACCGACGGGGCGAACTACCACTTCCCGGACTCACACGCTACCGAACGCTTGTGCGTCTCACAGCGTGATGGCGTTACTACCAGCACAAGTCGCTTGTTCAATCAGGCTGTCGTCCATGCGACAGCAATGGTAGCGCACGTGTCGCTGGCTGCAGCACTTTCCAGGCACTAGACAGACGCACCATCAAACTAGCAGACAGCCTCGTGCTGAGACTTGCAACGTCGTCGACTGCGCACGGCCGCTCACGTGCCGTATGCACAGCCTTTATCTCCTTATCGATCGATCCAAAGTTACAGACATCTCGCGTCGGCGGCCCTCAATGCCGTTTCTTCTTTAAACCTGACAGCCTGACTGACTGCCTGCCTGCCTGATGCTTCTGCTTTTCATGCGGCCTCGACTAGCGGCACGCCACAGTGATGTGCATGGGACCGTCTGTTTTCCCGCGCTGTTGCGAACGACAGACGCGGCAGACAGAGGGAGTCGGGCCATGTGTCGACATCGAGCGTGCAGGCATACAAACGCCAAGTTCAGCTGACTGGCCCGATTTCGTACTTTGCCGCACCGCCGCCAGCCGCTTTTGCGACGCCGCGCTCGCTCACTCTCTCTCGCTCCGAAAGGCGCATCGAGTCAGGCCGACCGCAGGCGCAGTGACGTCGCCACAAGCGCTTCACCGCTACGTGACACGCTCACTGTCCACTCGCGCCGGCCATGTCGAGCAACAGTATCAACAGCAGCCTCAACAGCGGCCTCATCAGCAGCAGCAGCAGCAGCAGCAGCAACGACCCACTCACCAGCGCCGACTACGGCGACGTCGCGCTGCTCCACGTGAAGCTCGTGGCGCAAGTCTTGTCGACGCTCCTGAGCGCCTTTGTCGGCTCGCAGCACGTGGTCCAGGCCCTGGCGCTCAAGAAACAGACGCGCACGCGTCGCGACCTTGAGACGCCTGTGCTGGCAGCGGCCGCCGCGCACGAGCAGCTCCCGCGACACGCAGCAGGAGAGCGCAACACGCGCGACGCGCCGCTGACGAGTCACCCGAGCGGTCCGACGGCCGCCACGACGCGCTCGAACGCGTCCGAAGACTTCAGACACGCGTACCAGGCATCGCAGCTGACGCGGGAGCGAGAGACCGCGCTGTTTGTACCCATTGGCGCCTTTGAACTGACGATGGACGAGGGTGACGACGGCCGCCCGCGCGTCTCGGTCGCGTCCCGGATCTTGCGCGTCATGTGCATCACGGACTTTATCTTTTCCCTGTCGGGCGCAGTCGTGACGGCGGTGGAGCTCTGGGCCCCGCAAGCCGGTCGAAGTTTTCAATTGATTTTCTGGGCCCAAGCACCGCACTGGTGCTCGCAAGTCGCGAGTTTCTGCTGGGTAGCGACACTGGCGATGTACATTGCAAAGCACCGGAATCGAGCGAGCTTTGATGTGGCCATTGCACACGCGATTATCTGGATGGTCGTGGTGTTCTATTGGGTGCTGGAGCTCTACACGAGTTACTACGAGACAAAAGGATTTGTGAATGCTGCCAAAGTCATTTGGAAAGTGATTGCAGTTGGATGCTTTATGATCATCACGTGTAGCTGGCTAAACTTTGCACGACGTTGGATGCAACAAGAGCGACGCAAAGGAGCGTATGTCGTGTCCAAGCTGGCGTCGTATACATTAGCGTTCTTTATCCTTGTTGGGCCTATTGTCGTTACAGATCTGGTTCTCGGGTTGCACAGCTACGGGATCGTGATGGACGCGTGCTCGATAAGTTTGGCTTTGTGGCCGTTTGTGAATGCTGTGATTTACCTCACAAGGCCTACTTTGTGCCTGAAGATCTTTCAGGAAAAGTCAACACAGGGGCTGCGCGGGCCGTACAACTCGGCTGACGGACAGCTCGGTAGAAACGGGAGCCGACGGTTGGTAAGTGCAGGAGGAACTGGAGCTGCAGGCGTATCGAATGGCACAGCGGGTGGAAACACCGGTGACTCTAACCAGAAGCTGCTGATGTCGCCGTCGCATAACGAGCTAAAGGGCTTGGAGATTGGTGAAAAGATTGGCGAAGGTGTGGCTGTGGTTTACCTCGGCAAGTGGCGTGGTGCGAATGTTGCTGTCAAGATGAAAGCAGTTCTAGCGGCGCTAGAAAGTGCTGCTGATTTGGTCGAATTTCAGCATGCCTGTAACGTGGAGATTCAAGCTGAAGCAGAAGTGATGCGCGGTCTGTGCCATCCGAACATTGTGCTCTTTATGGAAGCAGGATTTTATCGCGGCTCGATCTGTATCGTCTCAGAGTATTGCGCTCGCGGTTCGCTGCGTGATGTACTCCAACAGCAGACACCAGATGTTAAGAATCTGAGTTGGCCAACAAAGCTTCGCCTCGCGCTGGGAATCTCGCATGGTATCCAGTACTTGCATAATGCGAACCCGCCCATGATCCATCGAGACTTGAAGTCTCCGAACGTGCTAGTGGACGACTCGTGGCACGCCAAGATCGCGGATTTCGGAACTCTCCGCTTCTCAGAGATCGTGTCATCGGCTGCGCAACTTCAGGCATCTCAGGTACACATAAGAAACTCATCGAAAGCACCATTGGTGGAAATGACAGGTCTTGTGGGTACGACGCGCTGGATGGCGCCTGAGGTTATGCGAGGGGAACGCATCTACACTAGTAAGGTGGATATCTACAGCCTGGCGCTCATCTTGTGGGAGCTTATTGAGGGAAAGCTGCCGTTCGATAATACACGGTGGAATCACGAGGTGGAGGATTACGTGCTGAAAGGTGTCCGACCTAACATTCGCTCTGACATGTGTCCACTGCGCTGGAAACTGCTGATCGTAACGTGCTGGCAAGCAGATCCGCGAGAGCGCCCCACAATTCAGCAAGTCATCAACAGCCTGCAGCGCATAGGACGCGAAGAAGTGTGGGATCCCACCGGTCCTCGGTTTACAGGTGTTAGTCAGCTGGGCATGTCGCTGTCGTCTTCCATTTCGCACTCGATGTCCTATTCATCTCACTCGGACTCCATGCATGCAACTGGACCGGTTGGCGGCTTCGATCGACGCAACTTCCCTGCTGCACTCGACGAAAATCACGCGAGTGAATCCGACTCGGGCGCTGCGAGTTTTGTGGGGGAGTTCTCTTATGTGCCGACGCTCGATGCGCTCGTATCTCCAGCCATACTCGGTGTTTCAGGCGGCGATCACTCCAAGAGCACGAAGGCATCGCAGTCTCGGTCGCGTCTTGGCTCCATGGAGACTTCTGCTAGCAATCGATGGAGCATGGTGAGCACAAGCAGCAGCACAGTAAGCATGGGTGCGAACGATAGCGGCTTCTACGGTTCAAGCAGCGGTTCGTCCAGCAATACTGACCCCAGCGCGAGCTCTTGTAGCATGGGCACTCTCCGTGGCAGTGCGAGCTCCTCAGTGCGTAGCAGGTCGTCGGGGGCGTCACAAACATCCAAGTCGAAAAAGAAGCGACCGGAGTGGCGACGTCGGACCGACACCATCCAGGAGACGCAGCTTACGGATCTCCCCAATGCATCGTTGCACACGCTCGTCGAGTCCTCGCCCGATGGAACTCCGTTTATCGTCAATATTTAACTTTACACACAGACACTCGTTGGGTGGAAGATGAAAGGAAAGCGGCAAGTCGTCGCTATTGTTTTGTCTGCTGGCCGAGTGGGTTTCGTTGCTGGCTTAGAGTGGTGTCGTGCAGAGTACGCGTCTTACTACGCCAAATGTTGTTTTTCCACTTTCTTCTTCTCGCCACTTCTACTTTTGCCCCTCTTTTTTGTCTTCTGCCTCGTACACGCGGCTGAGCAGCTGGGTCGACTAGATAAAACGGCAGGTTTGGGACTTTTTCCAGGATTCAACAAGACATTCGTGATTGCAAAGACAGTGTCCGGATATCCGTGCACTCAGATTGGAGCTGGTAGTCCACGTTGTTGTATGTCCAGTTGTGTGGACATCACGAGCTGCGAGAGTTGGAGCTTGAGGTCAAACTCACGGTCGTCGTTTTGCTCGAATCGGTCGAAAAATGAGCCATTTTTTGACAATAAAACCTTGACCTTTTGTGTCGCATGGCAGTGTGGGGAATAACAAAGTACGGACATTTGATACTACCCCGTCGTCCATCTTTTCAGCGATTGGTCAGTCGGTCGGTCGGTCATCGCAGCGGCAGCAGTACTGCGACCTGAGTCCGCTCTGCCCGAAAAAATGTACTGACTTAATGTAGAGCCACATCGAATCCATCCGACTCTTCACGTTAACCATCGCGACCAAAGTCGCACGTCCACGAGCGTTATGGCCGACGTCGACGTCCCCAGCGACGTCTGGACGCCCGACGTTCCCGTGATTATTGCGGCCAACCGCCTCCCTGTCCGTCTCTTCAGAGCTCGAGAAGAAGATAGCAACGACACGCAGTGGCAGGTCGAGTGGGCTGGCAACCGCATGATCGAGTCGCTGAACACGCTGTCGTACCATGAGATCCCTTCGGAGCGCGCCAGTATCAAGTTCGTGGGCCGGATAGCAGAAGTTGACGTCCCTCCGGACGAGCGTCAGCAGGTGGAACTGCTGCTACGAGACCTGAATTGCTTCCCTGTCTTCCTCGATACCGAAGAGGCCAAACTGTACTACGAAGGCTACTGCAAACAGACACTATGGCCTACGTTCCACAATGTTGTGGACGTCTATAGCCCCGTAGATGTCGTGCTGGACGTAGACGCGCAGCAGCAGCTGACCCCTGCAGCTCAATCGTGGAATCCTGGCTGGCAAAAAGGGGCGTGGCAAGCTTATGCCAATGTAAACCAGCAATTCGCACACAAGATATGCGAGCTTTATGAGCAGGGAGACGTCATATGGGTGCAGGACTACCACTTGTTGCTGACTCCGAGCTACATTGTGAAGAAGGTGAGAGCAGCAAATGTCGGACTCTTTTTGCATGTGCCGTTCCCGTCCTCGGAGGTTTTCCGTACCTTGTCAATGAGGAGAGAGCTCTTGCGAGGTATGCTCAATGCAGATCACATTGGGTTTCACTTGTATGAGTACGCGCGGCATTTCATGTCGGCGTGTCGGCGGATCTTAGGGCTGAGCTACAAACCGATTTTACGAGGGCAGTTGGGGATTGACTATGGTGGTCGACGTGTCGCTGTGACGTGCAGTCACATGGCGATTGATGCAAAGCGCATTGAGGAGACTTTGGCGAGTAACGACGTACGCGACGCGGTGGTGGCACTGCGTCAGAAGTACCGCGACAAGAAGATCTTTGCAGGCTGTGACAATGTCGAACGTCTCAAAGGCATCCCGTCCAAGATGCTTGCGTTCGATGGATTTCTGTCACGATGCCCGGACTTTGTAGGCAAAGCGGTGTTGGTGCAGAAGGGAATTCGTAGACGCGGACGTGTGACGGATTATCTGCAGAGCAAAAAAGAGATTGAACTGGCGGTTGGGGCAATCAACGCTAAGTATCGCGACGCTGCTGAGGGTAATGTAGTGGACTATGAAGAAGTTGACGAGTTTTCATGCAAGGAGCGTGTAGCCCTGTGGCGCGTTGCGGATGTGCAAATCACGACTGTGCTGCGGGATGGACTCAACACGACACCGTTCGAGTATATTGCCACGCACAAGTACGTTACGGATGATCTTACTTGCTATGTTGGTTTATGTTAACGTATGTCCGAACTCGTCACGAGCAGAAACTCGCCTGGCGTTGTGATCACGAGTGAGTTTTCCGGTAGCAGTCGCCTCCTGAGCGGTGCACTGACAGTGAACCCATGGCAATTGGACCAAGTCATCGACGCGCTCCGCAACGCTGTGTACATGCCAAGGAACGAGCGTGAGCATCGACGCAATTGTGACTTCCACTTTGTGTCGGCGAACCCCCCGCGTCGCTGGGCCAGGTGCGTGCTCACAGACATTGTGAATGCACGGAAGAAGGAAGAGTCGTTTGTTTACATGGGCACAGGCTTTGGTCTCGATTTTCGTCTGATAGAAGTCAGCTCGCGGTTCCGAGTAAGCTACGTGATTTGACTACCAAGATGAGTTACTAGTGCGCTTGGTGATGGCTGTGGTGACTCATTGTTTGGTGTTGATTTAGAAACTGACGGACCAAGAAGTTGTACCAGGATATCGCTCGAGTAGAAATCGCGCGATCTTTCTGGACTACTACCGAACGTTGACTTCAGATGTATCAAAGCTGACGGGTGTTGGATGGCCTGACGTACCACTAAGCGCTTTGGCTACACTTGAACAGTTGTGCAAAGATCCTCGTAACACCGTGTTTATCGTGAGTGGATGCAATTGCGATCTCCTTACACAAAAGTTTGGTGGGGTACCAGGTTTGGGGCTCGTAGCCGAGCACGGGTATTTTATCCGGCCTGCCGTGCTAGGCAGCAATGCTCGCATTGGACGTCCATGGGAAAGACATGGCGACCTTTTGCAGGCAGAGGGAAGCCATCAGCGGTGGCGCGCCAAGGCAGAAAAGGTCATCCAGCTTTACGTAGATCGAACGAATGGGTCTACGCTGGAAATGCGAAGAAGCGCCGTGCTGTTCCGCTACGGCAAGTCAGATTTTGATTTTGGCATATTGCAGGCAACTGAGCTGAAGGAACATCTAGAGGGCGTTTTTGAGGTGGCCTGCATGTCAGTGATACACATAGACGACAGCAAAGCGAGTGCAAGAGTTAACATTCGCTTTTTGCTGCGTTGAACACAGGGCTGGCCATTGAACATCATTCAAGGAAAAGATTACATTGAGGTGCGGCCGGAAGGTCTAGGCAAGGGGGAGATCGTCGAGCACCTGCTGAAGAAGATGCGCGTGGATGGAAAACCAGCAGATTTTGTTCTGTGCATCGGCGATGATGTGGCCGACGAGCTTATGTTCGATCAGGTCACAAAGATGGTCACACACGATGAGCTACCAAGAGGTAAGTTTGATGTGAGAGCACATGTTGACGCCTTCAGATACTAAACGTTTATTTGCAGACAAGGTGTTTACATGCACGGTAGGTCAGAAGCCGTCTAAGGCTGAATTCTTCATCGACGACTACACCGACGTGATCGCGCTTCTGAAGTCACTACAAGTAGTTGCTACGAAGGTAAGCGACAGCTGTTGGGCATCCTGCCAGATGCTGCAGTCTAACTTTCGTCATGGGGCATGCTTGAACAGTCCAACCGTAATTACTCCTTGTCGGATATGCAATCCTTCGTGCGGAACCCGCGTCCGTTTTTTCCGTCCCCATCGCACGGGGTTCCAACGAATGCGTTGTCCAATTCAGTCGTGCGTAAATCATCCAGTCGCATCAATCTCCACAAACATCTGTAAGTAACTCCAGCTTTTGTCTGAAGGCGATAAGCTCACCGCAGCTATGTGTTCAGGACGCCTGTTCTGGAGGACCAAATCGTGCCCACTGATGTCAGTGGACAAAGCAAAGATCGGGGTGCATCTATTTTTCGCCGGCGAAAGAAGAACAAGTGGCTGAAGCGCTTGCAACAACTTGGCGTGATCGCCGTATTTATTGGCATTCTGCGGTGGCGCAGCGCCATGAAGAACGCTCATGAGAAGAAGCTACTGACATACTTTATGGCTTCACTCGGTATCGCGTGGTCTATCCATCGCGTGCGATCAGAGTCACACAAGTGACCGAATAGCAGTGACTATACCGGGCAAATACGAAGCAGACGCTGGAAGACGATAAGGTATGTCAGTAGGATCTTGCTCAAATGAAGTCGATGCAAAGCACTGGTTCAACCAATGGTTGTGTGCAACTAATGGGACGTCTAAAGTGAAGCACTGGAGACCGTGCTGCCACCGTCAGTACCTGATTTTCATGCTGCGTCGGGCCGACGGGTGTGTGTTTGCTTCAGTCATGGAGAGAATTCAGCCTTTGCCGGATGTTGTTGTTGGTTGCTGCACACCAGTGTGCGGCTTGCTTCTTAGAGCTCTACGTAGCCACTTTTCTGATCGAACGTGCAGAAGCAGATCGACACAGGTGCACGGAACATGCACGAACGCGTCTGCACGTTATCCAAACCTTGCGACACAACCGATGCCAGTGGCTGCAAACCTCACCGCGACACTTGCACCTCCGGGACGGCAGACGCGTCTGCGTCCGTGTCACGTGGCGACACACTCCAGTCTCGAAATGTACCCATTCAGAGTTGTTGCACACAGACTCGACCCTTTTTGTGTACCCCTTTTGCAGCGAGTGCGCCTCGCCGTCTCTGTAACGTCAAACCATGCAATCCTCGTGATCATGCATTGTCACAGGTCATGCACTCCCACAGGTCATTCAATCCCACAGGCCCCTCTCCTCCCACAATCCAGTCATTCCGTCCCGCCCGCGATCATCGCCGGAGCTCGACACGCAGACAGACGAAATGGGGCGACGCGAAGACGAGGGCGAGTCCAGTCGCCGTCACGGACGCCGCAAGTCGTCCCCGAGTGCCGTACGAGGCCAAGACAACGAAGACGCGATCCGCAACAAGCTGCGCGAGGCAGGCTGGAAGAAGCGGCGCACGGAGAGCGAGAGCGACGGAGAGCCATTCCCGGACAAGGACGTTCTGAAGGGATCGAGCGCGTCGCGGGGCGCCGACGAGTACCGCAGCGCCCGTGCGTCCAGTCGCAGGTCGAGACACTCGCACTCTCCGCGTCGGCGCGAGCGAGAGCACCACCTCACGCGTCGAAAGTCGTCGGGGGAGTCGACGGCGGTCGCCGTCCCGCTCTCGTTCCGCGGCGTCCCCCTCGCGCTCCCGCTCTCGGTCCACGACGCGACGTCGACGTCGTCATGTGTCGTCGGCGAAGAAGCGCCGGTCGCCGCGCTCGACGTCACGAGGACGAGACAGGAAGAGGTCGAGACGCGCAACGTCTCGCTCGCGGTCGACGCCGTCCGCGCCGAAGCGAAAGATGTCGACAGCGATGATGACGAGTGAAGACGGAGAGAAGAAGGTGGGGGAAGAGCTGGATGAGAAGAAGAAGCAGAGAAAGGAAGAGGAGGTGGAAGTGGCAGAAGAGGCTGAAGAAGAGGAGACGGAAGACGATGGAGAGGAACACGGCAAGAAGCAGGGGAGACACGACGAGGACGAAGAGCGGGAAAAGGATGGGCGACGGCACCGACCATTGTCCTCGTCGAGGAAAAGCAGTCGTCGTTCGCGGTCAGGATCGCCACGCTCGCCGTCTCGGTCATCGCGTCGTCGTCGCCATCGACGTAACTCGTCGCACTCGCGCTCGCATTCGCCGCCACGCGGTCGTCGTGCGCGACGTGGCGGCTCTCGTTCGCATTCGCCACCAAGAGAACGACGTCCTCGTGGACGCGATCATGACCGGGACCATCGTAGCCGCCGCAGGGGACGAAGCTACAGTCGTAGTCGCAGCGCTAGCTACAGCCGTCGTCATCGACCTTCTGGACGCTCTAGCTCGCGTGATAGACGACGTCGTGAGGCCAACAGCTCGCCAGAAGCGCATCAACACCCTCCTGCTACGATAGATGCTGCTCCTGCAGTCGGGACCGCTCCACCTGCCCCAAGCACGAGCGTGAATCCAACGATTACGCAATTGATGGCGCAGTATCCGACGATGAGTCTTCAGGACATTATTGCCAAGATGCAAGCGTCGAATGTGACGATGGCTGCTGCAGTAGCCCAAAAACCAGCGCGTGAGCTGTACGTGGGCAACTTGCCTCCTAACGTCACGGGTGCACAGCTCCAGGAGTTCTTGAGTACGATAATTCAGCAGGTGGGGCTCACGGTACAGCCTGGGAACCCGATCATCAACACTTGGATATCTACCGACGGGCATTTTGCTTTCTGCGAAATGCGCTCGGTCGAGGAATGCAACTTAGCGCTACTGCTGAACCAGTTGTCGCTTCTGGGACAGCCACTAAAGTTTGGCCGGCCGCGTAGTTTTATGGGTCCGCCTCAACCTATGCCTCAGATTTCGGCGCGTGCCCAGACTGCCCTTACAAATTTGGGGTGCACGCCAAACCCGGCTTGGTTCGCCCAGCCGTCGATCCCAAGCATGACTGAAATCACCGCGGACATGTCAACTTTACCAGGAGCTACCCTGGGTGTAGTTTCCGAGATGCAAGCTGTTGTCGCTGGTTCTACCAAGGGCGACGACAGCTCGCAACAACTTGTTATGTCCAATATTCCGGTCGTACTGGCAGAGAACCTAGTCAAGGAGCTAGTGGAGCCTTTCGGGGCGCTTAAGAGCTTTACGTTGGTCAAGGACGCTGCAACTGGTGCCTCTACGGGCAGCGCCATATTCGAGTACAAGGATGAAGACGTCGCTGCTCAGGCAGTGAAAGGTTTAAACGGACTAAGCATCGGTGGCATACCTCTGTCTGTTCAACGCCAGTCATCCAGCAATGGAGTGGCACTCGGATCCATATCGACTTCGGTCCCTAGTCCTGAGGACCAACCCGGTCCTGTTCTCAAGATGGTAGGGTCTTGCTATCTACGTTGTCTGTTTGCACGAAGGATACTTAATGTACACTATGTTTTGCTTGTGACAGTTAAACATGGTTTCTGTGGATGAGCTAAAAGATGACGAAGAGTATGCTGATCTAGCTGAAGATGTGGAGGAAGAGTGCAAGCGCTTTGGAACTGTAGCAGGCTTGGAAATTCCGCGCCCTAAGGTCTGTCGAGCTGTGGCAGCTGAAGAAAAATGGTGTTACTGATGATGGTCTGTTGTAGGATGGAGAAGATGTGCCCGGCTTGGGCTGCATTTACGTTCGCTTCGAAAAGGAGGAAGACGCAGTTTCTGCCTTGAAGGTACAGGGTCGTAACTTGTATTTGTCGTGTCCATGCTTTGTTCTCAGCACTTTCGTTCTTCTGTTTTTGTGGCTAGGCTTTGAACGGACGCAAGTTTGGCGGAAACATCGTGAAAGTTACCTACTTTCCGGTTGACAAGTTTGAGAAACATGCGTTTTCCTGAGCTTTTTGGCAGCTGACGATTTTTCACGCTGAGGAGTGGCTATGTCAATTCCTCTTTCTATATCTGCTACTCGCGGGCCAATTGCCTGTGGCGTCAGGTTACATTTGATGGGCGAGTTGAGCTGCTATGAGCTTGCAGCAGGTTTGTATGGTGGGCGGCTCAGGACGTTTGCGCGCAGTGGGGTAGCTAACTGAAACGTGCTGCCACGATGTGTAGATTGAATCCAATGAATTGGTCTCCGATGTTGTGTGTTGCCAATGTGTCTTCCTGTTATTACTGATTTGCTACTGTGCTCATATAGCAGCTGGCAACGAAAGCAACGAACCACAAACAGAGAGAACAGTCTACCAATGAACAACGGGCTTCTCTTGTCGCTCACGCCATTCTGCCGCTGATTTGTCGGAGACGCTGCATACGAGATTGTGCTTACGATCATGTAGAGAATTCATGAGTTTGGATGACCGAGTCGATCAGGTACGACAAGGTACACGTAAGCATTGCTGATATGAGTCTCTGTCAAGGGTAAGCGAGGCAACATGTTTCAGTGTCATCTTGGCTTGACAAGCTCGAAATACCGGCGTGGTGCCTGATACACGCGCCTTGACCAAAGGAATGCTGCTTTGTGTAGACCAGGCAGAAGGTGACGCTATAACCAGCGAATTGGTGATATCGTCGGTAATCTGCGTAGGTGAATCTGGAAGCTACCTCAAGGACCTTGTACCATTTTGTCGAGTTCTTTTCGTGGTGCAGAAATTACGGCTGAGATGTGCACACCCCAACACGTTCAAGAAAATGTTCATGGGAGCAATTAACGGGAAGAATGTCTTCCAGCAGCACGGTGCTGAGTGTTTTAGGTCGAATTGATGTGTATAATGTCGCCACGGCTACATCGACAGAGCATGAAGAGCAACGTTCGTATGATAATCCACCATGTGTTTCTACTGCGTACGGCGACATGACAAGCAAATTTAGGAGAGAACGATTTGGTGAACAATTGTGGACACGCCGTTGAGAGTCAGTGTACACATGTACCACTGCACGTGGTTTCAATGACCAGCGATAAGGTACGCAACTCATTTGTGGCTGACACTTTCACAAAATGTAAAGATATGAAGTAAGTGCAGCGACCACGCGACATAACTACATACAAGTCGACTACATTGAGCGCAGGTCGCACAGCAGATTGACAGCAAGTTACAGTGTCGTCGTCAATTTGGTCGTACAGTGCAACAAAGCAACAAAAATCCTGTGAGCAAGAGCAGAGCGCAGCTGACACATGTATAAAGCACAAGCTGTGTGGGCTACCAAGAGCTCGTAATTATTGTCCATATCCGCTGCAGTATAAAGACTCGTGTACAGGACATTCACGCTGGTAGTGCAGACGTTATAAGCTGATCTGCACTGACAGCCGTACAGACGAGTGTCTTGGAGCCACACCTACACACGAGTGCAGAGGAAGATTGACAGTTAATGAACACACGTGAGTGAATGCAAAAAGATACCCTGTCATAGAGCTGATTAGATGTTTTGCTTATATCTTTGTTCACTATGGCTAATAAAGACACGACTGCACACGAGATGCTCACCGGCTATTGCACGCGTCCATCATTCATCGGCAGCTTTGATGTTAAACAAAATGACCGGTATCAACCACTTCGTATGTATCGGGTGAGCCCGAAACCTTGTTGGTCAGATGGTCTACTTGCACGGAGTTAACTATGCGTTATATCCTCAGCAGTTCGCTAAGCCTGATATCAGCGCCGGGAGACCCGGAATCTAATCGTGGCTGGTCCCCAGAAAAAGAGACATTCTAGTGCGCGGACCGACAACTCGTGCTGCCGGCCGGTCCGTGGTACATGGTAGGGTCATAGACCCTTGAAGCTGTTGACACAGCCAGTAGTCTGTCGTATGCTATCGCCAAGGCAAAAACATCGAAAGTGGGGGAGATCCACTGCTTAACGTGGAGTGCTATCATTGAAGTAACGTCAGGTGTGGGAATGCCAACCCGCCGTATTATCTCCCCTAGGAGCTCATCAACCCGCGATGGTGGGTCCCATCGGCCGCTTGCGCGGTTTCGATCACCGAAGTAACTGCAAGGCGCGGGGAATGCCAACCCGCCGTATTAGTGAGCCCGATACATATCATTGACACCACATTGGGTCAATGAAAAAGTATCTGAATTGATGATGATCTCTAATAATATCTTGCTATGTAAACATGACCAGAAGAATTTGCTATTATCATCACACTTTTTGCTATTTCCACCACATTTTTAGCAAGCTCCACCACACTACACTACACCACCACAGCACATTTCACACAGCATCTCAAATGCCCTGAACGAAACACAGATAGAGTATTAGCGGTCGAATACCGTCAAGTTTGAACCACCTGTCGTAACGCAAGCACAAAACAGTGTCCACACGTATTCGAGCACATGTTCGCACGGCGATAAATCATTATATTGTATACAATCGATCCGAGACCGACAAGAACCAGCTGCATCGGTCAGCGACAGTGAGCAAGTACACACTCGTGCGTCTACCAGTGTGGCGCTGTCTTCCATTCACACCACCAAGATGTGGCCAATGGAGATTTGCTCGATCACATCAGCAACATGGACAAGACCTACAGAACTCCTTTGTCGGTTCATGATAGATAGTCAAATTACTTGATTGTCCATTCATTATCACAGCACATTGCGCAGCGGAAAAGAGCCGTTGCTGCTGTGTGCTATGAATTGTGATGTTTATGTAGTCGCAACGTGAGACCGAAACATGTTAGCAATGATGCTGGCAGGATGTGGAAGCGATCAATCGTACGTACTTGAGCTACTCGAGTGCTCTTCCTGTCGTTGCGGATGTTTACTTGTTGGAACCCACAAGTTCGGACCGATCAACACTTGTCTAACTGCTATTACGGACTCTGAATGTTTATTGAGACGCTGTCACTCTTAAATGGAACTGAGTAATGCACATAGTCACTGCAATTTTGGAAGAGCTGAGCTGTACGCGAGGTAATCGAAGTGCTCCAAGAAAAGCGCAAAGCGAGTACTGCTACGTATCGACAACATGGAAGCGAAGCGTTTATACTAACCTAGACAAGCTGGACCTGGTATTCATGCGCAGTAGGCAGGCAAATAGTGTTCATGACTTCACTTGAGTCACCACCATCAGCTGTGCAAAGATTGGGCCGCTCGTTTGCCATTTACCGATTGGTCATACGTATGAATCTCGATGGACCGTCAAGTGATGATTACCGGCGGGTAAAATGGAGAGATGACACGCTGACTAAAATAGCTTACAATTTACCAGCAAGTATGTCATGCCATGCCGTTGATGCAATGTGGATCGGACGTAGCGTTGTGGCTCTTCACAGATTGCCCGTGACTTACAACAATTGGTAAGTAAAAACAGATACGCTAAGACAATGCATGGTGACCTGTAAGGATACAGTGATGTTAGGATCTCCGAATATCGTTTATTGTATGCTTTGGGAGTCAATGGCGTGGCGAAAACAGTGACCTATCTCGTAGACGAGGTACTACTTCTCTTCAATGAGTAAAAGAGTCGTGTATACGTTCTGAATCGCATGCGGCATTATTTGCATAGCTGATATTGTGACGCTTGAAATGTAAGAAAAATACGTTCTTTTGTTTGTATGGCAAAACGGATTTGGAAAACGTAACATCTTTTTAACCGGTCGGAGATAAATCAAGTAGTTGTGTAAGTCAATATCGCAAGATCTATTCGATAAACGAAAGATCTCTGAAAGCGGTGCTGATATAGATCGAGCAATACAATGGCTCAGAATGATTTAACATTTTCATTCTAGATGTAAGATCAAGACCTCATTATACGAATGCTGCATTTATAAATTTGTGGAACGTTTCACCAAATGAGAAGTTTGAAAAATGTAGAATTTCTCTTGTTCGGTAAAGCAAGTACAAAGTAGGCCCCTGACTAGCCCGGGTCAACAGATCATTATCAAGACAGAATAAGATTTGGTCAATTTGCGATAAGACCGTACTTAATGTGATTCAGTACGTTGATATCGCAAATGACCAAATGTAATTCGTACTAAAGCACTGTTAATGTGCGAAGGCTATCACGCGTCGCCAGCCCAATACGATTCATGATTTTGGTGAGATTGACATCTCAAAGCTGGAAAAAAGCGCTTCGGCCAGCCTTTTTCTTGTAACCCCTATCGTTGATAATCATACGATTTACTTCGTTGAAGTCGTGTGGTGATTGTCGATAGAAGCGGCACCTGTTATGTACACTTCCATGGAGCAGAGATAAAGGTTGAAAGATATGAAAAGATCTTCGAGGTTAATAAGGGTCATTATTACTACGGAAAATTTTCAACGATACGTATTTCCTATGCTAACAGCGCTGACATATATCCACTATCTATATCAAACTGCGTCGTGGATATGTTTGCCGACAGATTATGAGTTCATTCTTTAAATAATCTTCGTCGGTGCAAAAAACAGGCAACGATGAAACGCACTTTGATATCACGAAAAAAGAGCAATAAATAAAAATTAGTTACACTTCGTGCCCACGGTCGACGAAGGTGCTGCTGTGCTAGCATTGCTTTAAAGGGATAGCGCAAGACTCAATGGATCGGAGAGAAATTCATCATATAGTCTAATCAGAGGCTTGAGTGATTGCTAAGCTTTATACCAATTTTTTTGAACCACCATCGCATCATCCGAGCGCCAGCGGTTATCAAAAGTTGCCATCCAAATTTTTTTACTCGGTGCGTCCCCGTGCATCTTCAGATCTGCAACAAAAGCAGCGTACATACGATAATGCAACCAATCGTGTATGAAAGTCTACATTTTCAAGCAGAAAGGTAAGTGGTACATCACACGCATAAGCTTAAACAACAAATTGGTTACGAAAAACTTATACGTGACAAATCGTGATTCGGTAGGGCTGAGCTGATGATCCGAATGCCAAAACGTTGGAGCAGATGGGCCAGAAATTTGATGC